AAAGTAAGGATTGCACCTTAAAGATGTGATCTTTTTAAAAAAAGTTGTGCCTAAAGCAGTTAGGACATTGAAATTCAAACTAGATCACAAGTCACATTATGCTTAGACTTGATTCAATTTTCAACATGTTTTCATGATGACTATAACCACCAAGTTTTCTATTATTGTTACTGGGAATTTTCTATAATGTAAAGTTGTTTGTGACTCAGTGCGCAAAACCTTAGCTGGTGACACAAGGTTTAAAGCTTAACTTTTTAAATAAAATCAGTTTGTGACAAAGTGGTAAAACACCCAGAGCAAAATTCCAAAGTTAGTGGCAATCAGAAGGCAAAACGTTCTTGTTTAATAGTTTTACTTTAAAATAACTCATTTTGCTAAGATTTTATGTTAACAAATGTACAGACCAGAGTTTAAAATGATTTATCTAATTGATTCCTTTTGTTACCTGGCTAGCAGGGAAAAGGGGTCGAGGCCGGTCCTGACCTGTTACAATGAAGACTGACTTGCTATGTGGGATTACACCAGAAGCTTGCAGTGGAGTAATGGTAAGGATATCAAGCAACCTTAAGTATCTCAGCTGTATAGGAGCATATTCTGTTGCAAAAGACCTTCCTGCGAAGATCATGGATTCAAATATGGGACATTTGAACTAATACTTGGACTTTGAAATGAATTTCTTTAACAGTTTTCTCTGCAGTGCAAGTTATTAAACTAAAGCTACTCTATTTCCCCAATGTGTTCAACAAAATCCTTAACGTTTAGCATGGTATCTTAATAAAGAATAAAGTTGTTCTTTAAAAAATCTGCTTTAAGTAGATTTTTCCCCCAAGTTTTCTCAGTTAAGGATTCCAAAAGTGGTATTCACAAATTCTTGCATAAATTTTTATTGCAGTGGTATAGATGAATACCATCGTTGGTATCCTTAAATTTTATTTCTGCTCATGAAGGTTAATCATGATTGTCTCTATAGTAATCACTTATGAATTGTGTTCAGATACAGCAGTTTCAGGTGTAATCATCAGAGCTGGTTAGTCAGGCATTCCAGATAGTGGTTCTTTTCAGAACCTTTTTTAAAGGGTTGGTTAACTACCTCAGTAGCAGAGGATTGAACTATACCCTGTCTGTACTGTACATAGAAAATCTTTGTAGATAAAAGCAAGGCTTGTTTAATATGATATGAGGGTAAGATTATAATATACCAAATGTAACATTCTTAGTTGCCTTTAGTTCCAGAGGCTTTGTAAGACTTCCTCATGACCATCATAACAGGCCTTGCTTTTGTCGTATTTTGTGGCTGAAAAAGCAGCCTTGCTTCTTCAGATATTGTAGTTATTTGGATGTATAATAGTTTAGCAAGATGTTACTTTTGTAAGACATCAGATGTTCAAAAAAAGTGCATCAGCAACTTGTACTAAATACTGCAGTGTCCCTTTATAAAAGGTCAGACTAAAACTGACAACTGTACAGTGAAGCCTGACATTTGGATATTTTGAAGTTTTTCATAAATCATAGAATAGTATATGGCTGTAGTTTAGCTTTTTAGGTAAAAGGTATGTTTTCATTAGTGCATTTCTTATTGCTGATCACTGTAAAAACATGTGGATCAGCTTTCCATTTCTCTTACGCAGATCATGATAACCTGTAGAGTAGAGTAGAGTACAATCATTTGTGCTATGTTTTTAATTTTCTAAAGCACCTTGATGACAGTGAGTGTTCAGTGGTGAAGCATCCTCTATTGAACCACCCTTCAAAAAGAGAAGACAAAACCAGGAGAACCTTGCCAAGTCCAGCTTCGTATAGGTAAAAGATAGATAAAATTATAACTTACTTTGGACTTGGCATAAAGAGCTTCCCTTAACCCCCTGCCCAAAGGGATACTGCAGTTATACTACATACCCATAGGCACCACAATGAAAATTGAAGCTTATACCTAATTAAGGTTTTATACACACCAGTTCCCCAGTAAATGCAAATTTTGACAAAATTAGACATGTCATATGTTGAAAATGCTCATGGCAAACAATCATTTTGCATTCCAAACCTGCAAATAAAATTGTTTTATACTGTAAGCTGGAGGCGAGTGTAACTTATTTTTGTAATAAAGTTTTTATTTTTTTTATGTGTCATTAATATAAATGTGTGTTAGTACAGAGATCTTCTGGTTAAAAACTTAGAATCGCACACATTTCAGTATGTTTACTTGTATTTACATAATTTTTAGAATAGTGGTTGCCAATAGCCTGTATGTTTCACATTAATTGATTTTTTTTTTGTTATCTTAATAAACCATTTTAGTATGTTGTATGTCAATTACTGGGATAGCTGGGACATGAAGTGTAATTTAAAATTGTCAAGTATTCATTGGAATATGTAAATGTGCCTTGCCAGTTTTGAACTTTAAGACAAAGTAAGTGAATGATGGTAAAACGAGTAGTCGATGCGTAAGAGACGTTTGATACCACAGTTTCATATACTGCCCTTGCTAAAGAAAAGTCAGTTTTTCCTCAGATTTGAGCGTAAAAGTATACAGTTGCGATAGCTTCTGAATTTTCAAATCTAGTGATAGAATATTAGGCTTATGGAAAGTGGGTTTGCTAATTGTAGCCTTAAGTATAATTTTGAATTTCAATGTAATCCTTGGTGCTGGCGTTCCCAGTGCCAAGGAGTTTAAATGCTCCCTTCAAAGAGGTTGCCATGCCTACTGGCACTTTTACTGTCATATGGTTTTATAAGGAACACTGTCAAGATACGGAAAGAAATTTTGAACTTGCTATAAAATAAAAATACTGGGGGCTGTAGGAGAGGGGAAGTCCTCAGATTTCTTAATCTTGGAATCTCTCCATTGCTGACAAACTTCAAACGCTTGTGGGATCACAAGTGCTAGTGACTAGGTTTTAGTCTGGAAATGTGGCGGGGGGGGTAATACGTTCATGAAATTGTAACAGTTGATGGAAGTTCATGAAAACATTGCAATGAAGCCACTACATGCGTTGAAATTGCGGATCGTATCCTTAATTTCAGCTCTGATAAAAGCATGGGGGACTATTGTTAAAAAAAAAAAAAAAAAAGGCAAAATTGGCAGGAAAGTGTTTGTTTTTAAAAGGAGTGCAAGCAATGGTGAGTGAGCAAAATATCAAGATCTTGACAGTGTTCCCTCTAATTATGAACTCAAGCCATTATAACTTTTAAAATTAAATATGATTTGCACTGTTCTGATATTGGTGCAGTTTTTTAGCGAAATGATCAGAAAACTAAATTGCATGTGGTGATTAATATTGTGGGGGAAAAAACCTAATCTCAAAAAAATGTTATTTTCAGAGCTTTTAACTTTGATTGTGTAAAGAAAAACCATTCATTAAGTGGAAATACTGGTGAGAATGGGCAAGTGCAGATATACAACATCAGTTTGGTTGCACTTGGGTGTTGGTAAACTTGAAATGTTCTACAGCAATAATGCATCTCCTACGGGTGCTTTGGTGACAAACGGACATAGAGCACACAGTTCTTTTGGGCATGCTAAAGGCAAGTGTTGACTTAATGTATGATGCTGCCTCTGTTTATTTTTCTAGGAGGCTTTCTTTACTGCAACATCTGCAAAGGTTTGAGTATAAGCTAGTGTAGTCCCACATTGGTTTGTAATGTGTTCCTAAATTTGAAGTTTAGTTGAATTTAATAAGAAATCGGAAACTGCTGCTGCTTAACACTTCTGGTTTATAAACACTCCAATACACAGCTTTTAAAATTATACTCTTGTTTTAATACTCTCTTTTTTGTTTGAAGGGTTTCATGTAGGACATGCAACTGTATTTTTTATTTTTTTTATTTTATTTTTTTTTAGTTTTTAAAGAGGAGATTTATGATGACCCAGAGCTTAAGTCTGTGTTTTTGGTGTTGGAAGAAGGCTGTTTAATAGATACTAAGACCAGTTTCTGAATTTCTGCGTTGTACAACTGTTACCTAAATACTGTCTTAAAATCTAAAACAAGGAATACTAATTCTGTTCTTGCTGGGGGTGGAGGGGTATGACATAGTCAAAGATAAACTTAGCCTCTGCTGAAGGTAGGATTCCCAGCTTAATGTTTCAGGATGGAAATGTTTTAAATGGCCGCAACGTTTCCCTTGTGCCTTTGATAATTCTTCAGAGGCTTAACATTTCTATTCTGCCTAGCAGTTATTTCAGTGCTTCCCTACAACAGTGAGGGGAGATTTTTAAATAATAGTTTAAAAATCTCTACGAAAAATGGAAAGGCAACATAGACTTTAACACACGTAAAATTTTCTGAAAAGGGTATGTTCAAATTGATACATTCCACAAAATTAACTGTTATTCCCTCACTTAAATTAGTGAAAACTTAGTGGAAAATGTTAATTGTTTAAAATGGAGTAGCAAGTTTTTGAAGTAGGTATTAAGGCAATAAATTTTACAAGGTAGAGTTCCCAGAGTTGAAATCCATACAGTTGGAGCTTGAACTCATAGCTTGGAGGTTACGAATCCCAACTGCATGGCTGGCTGTGATGGACTTAGTCTGTATTTGCCAAGTGCCTCACTGAATTCGCTCCAGCCCATGGCATCTCCTGGCTGGGGCTGGCTCCTTGCATTGGTTGGGCAGAGGAAACACTGGGCTGTACTCGGTCATTTGCTCTGTTAGATAAAAATGGTGTGTGGCAACAGGAGAGGAAGCTGATCCTAACCTAGGGGTATTCAAGGGAGAGGGACTAAATTATTAATTGTTACATTACAGCTATCTGGTGCACAGAAACATAAAACTTCGTAGAAGCTCTGATGCTAAACTTTTTTTGGGGAGAATGATTTTCACAGTCATCTGGTCAACACTGCAAGTGTTTGGTTATATTTACTTGTGTTACAGAATCCACGAGATGAAAGAGTGACTTTTCTTTGGTGCCTTTTGGCCGTCACTGTTTCGATAGATGAATTTTTTGAGAAGTGCCACTAGGATGGACTTGTTAGTTCACTTGAAATTTGGAGAGAAGGCATGTAATGATATATTTTTCTTCCCAATATATAACTTTACTAGATTTTTTTTTCCCCACAAACATACTTGTTTGAAATGGCCAGCTCTGGACTGGATGTTGTGCAGCTGAGCTCATCTGGAAACATTGGGTTAAATTGATTATTCAAGGCTGTATTCATGAAGGCTTCTTTAGATGGTCGGATTTCTAGGTACATGGTAGTTTGTTGTTTTGTGTTTGTTTTTAAGATAGAAAAAAAATCGCATCTGAGACAGTCTAGAAAACACAGTCATAATATGTAGGTAAGAGGTAGTTAAATACGCATTGAATATTTAAAGTTTGAATCACAAGATAAATTTTGTTTCCAAGAGTTGTTTCATTCCTGAATGTTGATGAAATTTAGTGCCAATTCCAAAGCCAATCCTTATTTTCTGACAGTCATTTAGGTAAAACTTGCAGTGTCAGAAGTCTGGATTCCCTCTAGTCTGAGAGCGATTCATTTGGCTGGTAAATGGTTACAGCTCACTATCTCTGCACAGGTAGTACCACTATACAGTTCTACTGGTTTTAGTCACTAACGTGTGGAAAAGACATTGAACTTTACTGCTTATTTTCTTTGCACTAAGGAAGTTATGAAATCCATTCCTAGTTCTGCTACCCAGCCAGTAGAATAGCCTATGGCATTTGACTGCACATAAGATACTGGTAAGTAAAAAGAGTCATTCTAGTACTTAAATGAGTGGCAGTACCTGAAATCCGTCTTTGTAGACTGTTTAATTGACTCCTTATCTTCAGTTATTAGGGAGGTTGTGGGTTTTAAGTCTTCAATTTTAGTGTGTCCACTTGATGCTACGTGAATGTTGAGTGTAATCTGTAACTAATGTTAAATGCTTTAGATGTAAAAATGCTTCACAGATAATTCAGTATGTATTTTTAAACTGATGGGTTAGCAGTCATAGTAGTTTAAGGAATTTTCCATGAACACAATCAGTCATTGAAAACCAGGAACTGAATGTATTGGGCCCTAACTTCCTGGTTCCAGATGTAGCATTTCAGTATTCTTCTGTCATATAAAGTAACATTCTTCAGACTTCCCCCCCCCCTTTAGTGGGATGAAGAATTCACCTAATTCTGTCACTAGTATTGGTTATTTAAAAACTATTACTCAGTGTAGCTAATTTGGGATTAAAAAGCTTCCTCTGTGAGAATTCAACAAAAGCAATTTATAGATACCCCATTAGTAAATCAGGGCTTTTCTTAAGGTGCAATTTCAGCATACTTAAGAATGAAACTCTGTCTTACAAAGCACTGGTTGGTGAGAGCTAGCCTAAAATAAATGATAATTAACCTTTTCATAATGCAGATGTGTCACAATTGGGAGGCGATTTTAATCTGTAATATTACAGCATTTGAGATGACAGATAAAAATACCTAGACCCTGCATCTGGAAGAGCTGGAGTGGCTGTTAAAGGACTGCTCCTGGTTCAGAGTGTGGTCAAAGGCTTCCTTTGGATACTGCAGTGAAACCTTTTGACTTCCAGTGCAAGCAGTGGTTCTAACAAGATAACCTCTTCCAATCCACAGCTTTCAGCAGATACTGTGTTTCGTACATGTGCTTAAATTGATACTTTTAGCAGAAAACAAACCTCCAGTGGCCGTCACTGGTGTATATGTGAGTGGTACTTTCACCAAGAAGTGACCAATGTGTAAGTTTGACTTAAAACCAGTCTAGTGAAACCATCCTTTATCCACCTTTATGGAATTAGGTTTATTTATACTTGCTTCTGAATTAGTGGGATGCTCTAAAGCTACTTTGAAGAAAACTGTGGCGTGTACATTGTTAAAATCTTGTCAGAATTTGCAAGTGAAGAAATACAGTGCAGGTTTCTTGCTGACAGATTAGACTTGAATATAACGGAAGGGGAAAAAAATGTGTCATAACTTCTCTCACTGGAAGTCCTGGTGGTTCCACAAGCTTTAGATGCCTTTAGGCTTTAGCACTGAGTGCAGTGGAAGCTGAGTTCATGTAATTGGTAATCTCTGCTGCCTTGCTTCACTTTGTTTTCATAATGTTAACACAACCTTTCAGAAAATTCTTCTAAAAAACTCATTATGGGTTTGACACCAGTGAGATCAGTCTTCTAGTTAAGAAGGATCTGGGAGGCTTTAAATCCACTGGATTTAAAATAACTTATAACTTCATTTTGTGTGTGTTTGCAATTTGGTGTTGCATAGAAGTGATCCTACATTGGGAATGGTGTAACAAATGGCACTTTTATATTTATATAT